AATATTAGTAGCCTGGAAACATTGGAGGTGGTGGCGACGCATATTGGTGGCCTATGAATGGTGGAATGATGAATTCTTCACTTGGAGGTGGTGCTTCCACCGTCCGTGTCGGTGCTCGTGGCGGAGGAGAGTTGACCGGTGTTTGTGGTGGCGATTGAACTGGAGTTGGTGTTGGTGACTGTGCCGGCCGCGGTGGAGGAGAGAAGACCGGTGGTGGTGGGGGAGAATAGACAGGCGGCGGTGGTGGAGAGTGGACAGGTGGTGGTGGAGAATGTACCGGCGGTGGAGGAGAGTGGACAGGTGGTGGCGACGGTGGAGAATATACCGGCGGAGGTGGTGAATGGACTGGCGGCGGTGGAGAGTAAACCGGCGGTGGAGGGGAGTGGACTGGTGGTGGTGGCGGTGGAGAGTATACCGGAGGAGGTGGTGAATGGACCGGTGGTGGAGGAGAGTGGACAGGAGGAGGTGGTGAATGGACCGGCGGTGGACGAGAATGGACCGGAGGAGGTGGTGAATGGACCGGCGGTGGAGGAGAATGGACCGGTGGAGGTGGTGAATTGACCGGCGGTGGAGGAGAATGGACCGGTGGTGGAGGAGAATGGACTGGTGGAGGTGGTGACTGGACTGGTGGTGGAGGTGGTGGAGAATATACCGGTGGTGGTGGTGAATGAACTGGTGGTGGAGAGTGAACTGGACGCAGAGGTTGTGGCGGAGGAGGACTACGCCGGAACTTTACTGGAGACTGATCAAATGGGTCATTTGGTTGTGGAGACTCTTTTGGTGGTTGCAATTTCTGAACCGGTGGTGGTGGTGAATGGACTGGCGGTGGCGGTGAATAAACCGGCGGTGGATGTGGTGGAGAATATACTGGTGGTGGTGGTGAATAAACCGGTGGTGGTGGKGAATGGACCGGCGGTGGCGGTGAATAAACCGGCGGTGGAGGTGGTGGAGAATATACTGGTGGTGGTGGTGAATAAACCGGTGGTGGTGGAGAATGTACCGGTAGTGGTGGTGAATGAACTGGCGGTGGTGGAGAATGTACCGGTGGTGGTGGTGAATGGACCGGTGGTGGTGGAGAATGGACAGGTGGTGGTGGTGAATGGACAGGTGGTGGTGGTGAATGAACTGGTGGTGAGGGAGGAGGAGAAACCACCGGGTGATGTGGCGGAGGTGGGCTACGCTTGAACTTAACAGGAGATTCATCAGATGGATCATCTGGTTGTGGTGACGCTTTCGGTGATTGTGGTTTTTGAACTGGTCGAGTTGGCACAGGTGATGGACGCCTCGACGGTGTACTGGAACCACCAGCGCACTTGTCTTTACTACAATCCACAGGACGGCTAATCACAACCGCACATTCCTTGGCCGGTCGTTGCTTAGGACGATCTGGCAAGCAGTTATGTGTATCATCCAATGCAATCTCCTTTCGATTACCGGGAACACACGAATTGCCTTGTCCGTTGAAGTAATTGTAAGCATACGTCAAGTTAACCAACTTAGGTAACTTGCAAATATTCTCGGGCACAAATCCGGTGAGTTTATTCCCAGAGATATCAAACTCTTCCACACCGGTAAGCCCAACAAAGCTCGGTGGTAGAACACCGGTAAAGGAGTTCATGCTCGCATCGAACACATTCACATTGGCTAGCTTTCCGATCTCTGATGGGAAACAACCGCCGAGACTGTTGTCCTTAAAGATGATCTCGTTGAGATTCTTCATGTTCCCAATGCTTTTAGGGATGCAGCCGTTAAATTTGTTGTGAGCAAAGGTTACAACGGAGGCAGAGGACTCTCCAAGGGACTCAGGTATTGTAGAAGTGAATCTGTTGTTGTTCAAGAAAATGGCGTCAAGATCCATCTTGAATAGGTGAGGAGGAACTTGACCTTCGAAATCGTTGAATCTTACGTCGATGTACTTAACGGCCGGCCACGAGAGGACAACGGAAGGAAAAGGTCCAACAAAGCGATTGTTGCTGACATCAAACTCGTGCATTAGCTTCAACCTATCCAAGCTCTTGGGTATGATACCACAAAACCGGTTTGAATTGAGATGGAACATCGCCACGTCCGTCATCAAACCAAGCTCAACCGGTAAATGCCCTGCGATATCTGCACCATTCAGATCCACCCCTGCCACAACCGCGACGTTAAGATCATCAAGAGCTGGGGCACAGAAGACACCTGTGTAGTTACAGACGTGCGGGCCATGCCAGTTCCCTGTGGTGTTAAACGGGTCTGAAAAGACCGCTTTTTTCCAGGCTTGGAGAGCGACATAGGCTCTCTTAAGCCTATGATTCGCAAATGTTACCTTGAGATCGACCTCATATTCGATATCTTCTGGAAGATCGCCATTTTCGGGTAGCGTCAAGAGCTGTCGATGTGCAATGAACGAGGCTTCTGCGTCGGTGAGAGCTAAAACAAGAGAGGAGG